ACGGACGCTTATCAAGGAGTCATACCTCCTCCCTGTGGAGTTACCACAAGAACCCAACTCCACCAACTGGTTTGCAAGGAAGTGGGCCAAGCAACACCCTCGTGCCCAAGCTGCCCTCAAGGATACGCTTATGCGTTATGCAGGATGCGTCACCAAGATTCGAGTAAGTAGTTGCAAGTTTATGCAATCAACCATCATTTGGCTGGCTCGTATCATACATGACTAACATCAATTGTTATGCAGGCCCATGCATCGCTGGCAATCCCTGCAGCAGACGACGCCAGCTTCTCAAGAGTTTCTCACTTCGTTCGAGCGACCCCTGACTATTTTGAGAGGCCATGGTACTCGGATGTTTCAGTGGAGGGTGTAAGGTATGGTCGGAGAGAGGAGTGGTATGCAAGGTTGCTTCTGTCGTTCCATACAAAAATACGTGGAGAGAGGGAGGAGCTGGCTTACGTTAGATATTGGAATGCAAGCGGAGAGGATACAGCAACAGGATGCCTTCGCCTCAAGTGGACGACAGGAATTTACGCGTACTCCGTGATTCCGATTGAAGCGCTGCTCCGCCACGTCCATGTGGTGAAGGCATTCCATCTGGACAGTACCTATCTCCTTAATAAGTATCAAATGTGATGCATTTTTATTGTAATAAAATGGCCAGCATATTTCCAAGCAGTCACATTTTAGGGAAGTCAAAGCTACGGAAACCCATTACAAATTCACAACCAAATTGGTACACTCCAAATATACGACAATGTACCGGAGTCGCGAATTCGATTTCGACTTCGACAAACAAACGCGGTCCGATTTCATTCCGTGATTGGTCGCGAGTTGGCTTCGGAACTTCGCCAACCAAAACACCTGAACTGTACCCCCCTTCGAACCCCCTTCAAAAACCAAGGTTTTTTGTGATGGTGGGCAGGGGCAGCGGGAGCGCATGGGCAGGGGCATCGATGGCGCGTGCAGGGCAGCAGTGGCTTATGCAGGGCAGCGCAAAGAGCTGCGCGCGGCGCGCATGGCAGTGCAGGGCAGCGTGTGGCGTGCGCGGCTATGTAGGGCAGCGGAACGGCAGCGCGCCCGTGTAAATGGCGGGGCACGCACGGCAGCGCGATGCCCACGAAGAGCTGCGCGCTAGGGGCAACGTGAGGCAACATGCGCGTGGGGCAGTATGGGGCAGTACGTACGGCAGTAGGTATGGCAGTAGGCACGGCAATCGGAGCTAACCTAGTCTGTGGGATACCATGTTAAGAACGTATGAAAGGGGAATGGATTGAACTAACAAGATGGCGACAGGCGCAGAGCCCCGGACTAGACTGCGACAGGCACAGCTGGCTCTCTGTGCTCCCAGGAGTGCGCAGCACTGTCGCTACCAAGCGCAGAGCCCCGGACTACACAGCGACAGGCGCAGCTGGTTGTCTGGGCTACCAGGCTAAACCCCGAACTACAGGCACTGCGGACGACAAGACGGCTGCCTCCACTCAACTTCCCCTAGCTGTCCCACACCCCTTTCACACACCTCGTGCTGTACCTCTAGCACGGCTCACACGCCACCCCCCTCGTACCACTTCGACGGCTCCAACACATCGACCCCCCTCAGCGGCAGCTGCAGCAGTGGGAGACGGAGGAGGAGGAGGAGCAGGGGACGGCGCACACACCCGTCACCCCCATACTCGCCACCCCAACACTTGCCACCCCCAAACCCTAACACGGGCAGCACGGGGCAGGATCGCGGGCAGCATCGCGGGGGACGGCGCGTGGCTCCCCAGGGCGCCGCGCGCGGCTCCCCAGGGCGCCGCGACGGGGCAGCGGGGGGTCGCGCGCGGCTCCCCAGGGCGTCGCGACGGGGCAGCGGGGGCCGCGCGCGGCTCCCGAGGGCGCCGCGACGGGGCAACGGAGGGCCGCGCGCGGCTCCCCAGGGCGCCGCGACGGGGCAACGAGGGCCGCGCGCGGGTTGCGGGGCGACGCGACGGGCTCCCGGGGGGCGACGCGACCGTCGACGGGGCAGAAAACCGCCGCGCGCCCCGAGCGCGCGGCGGGAAGAAAAAACGCCGCGCGCCCGGAGCGCGCGGCACGCAGGAAACAGCGCGCGCACAGGGCGTGCGATAGGCAAGACAGCAGCGGAAGCTAACGGTGGGCCCATCCACAGGATCGACCCGGGAGGGTCGACCTGCTCTGATAGCATATCAGAAATGTTAGGCAGAAAGAAGAAACAGGAAAGAGGGGTTTCACTAGCACGCAGTTGAGTACATATAGCAAACCCTAATTTGGGCTGTACTCGCTATAGAGTACCCCACTGCAGGCTAGACAAATATCACATTCTGACACAAGCTACATACGTCTTATAAATACTAAATAAAAAACAAAATATTGTACACACTTCATACGTCTCATAAATACAGAATGAATGTTGAAAACCTGTTGCCGTTCGAAACACCCGATGGGAGAAAAAATGAGTTGAGTTGCATTTGCAGCAAACATTAATATAAAACCCCCCACACACTTGGCTGTTTCCCACAACCCAAATTTCTCTCAGTAATGAATGGAAATCCAGGAATTTATCATACTTTGGTAGACTGGAAAATATAAACAACGTATAAAAAGCTTGTATTTGTTTAACATAATATGTCTCTGATTGTTATAGTCAAATGTAGAAATATCATATTACAAATATAATAGCGCAAACACAGCAGACACTATCGAGACATAGAGCCAACGGGAAACTATCATGTTCCTGGCCTCACACAAGCCGATATGGGCCACCGAACCTGCAGATCTAGCCGCTCATACAGTTAGGAGATTTCCGAAGCTGACAGCTTAGCTGCCCAAGAAGTGGATCGATCTGCGTGACGCGATGAGTCAGATCGATCCACTTCTTCTCGGGACCCCCCATTTTTGGGATGTTATCGTATTGAATACGATATGGGGCCGCCCAGAAGGGAGTTTCGCACGTGCTGGCCTAGAAAGTGGATATGACTTAGCTGCGCGCCTCCTCACCCAGCGAGGCGTGTAAACAAATGGGTAGTAGGCGGGTTTCGACCGACAGCCGGGGTTCTCCCCCTACCTTTACCTATACGATAAGCTGGGCCATTCAGGCCTTCTCGGAGACGCCAATGCATCTGCTTGAGGCTGTGGCCATTTGATTAGACTTCACTAGTTCGCCCGCAAAAAATCATGATTCGTCTGTCCCTGGTGCTGCTGCTGCTGCTGCTGGCAGGTACGCCTCCCACCGAGTCGTCACTTGCTGTGCAGTTCAACCTCCAGGACCGATTTTTGCCCGCTGAACAATTCCGCGATGTGTGAAGGCCTCGGGCGGGCACGGCGATAGCATCACGCTAGTTCTTCCTTGAGTCGTTATCAACTACTCACCTGCCTTACGTCTATTTTTCTGCTGCGTGTCCGTGCTTTTATTATCTGTTCTGCTTGCCTTGCCGTCAGGCTGCTGCCGCGGCACATGACTCGCGATGATACTGTGACGACACGCCGCGGGCCCAGGCTGCTCGTCCAACCTTCCGGGCCGCGCAACCCGCTCAATTGCGGTAAGTTCACAATGCAAGGCAGTAAGTGCGCACTTACCGCAAACTGCGCTGTTCCACCCTTCCCCCCAGCTCGCCCCTGATCAGTTTTCTCTCGCTCACTTAACTACGCTAACAGATTCTGCCACGTTTCATCCAGTTTCGATTCGGTGCATCGCATGATGATGTGGTCGCTGCCGCAAAGAGTCTTTGTCGCCGCAGAATGGTATAATCATGACTCTCGTTTCTCTCACGTCACTCTTCAGCATGCAGCAACAATTGTGGTTGGCGGCCAAAAGGGCTGGCCTGGCATCAAGTCGTGGGCAAAGCCGGCCATCAATCAAAATGATGTTCTAGGTTCGTGCTTACATTACTATCAGTGCCAAGCTATCAGTGCAACTAATCGATCTGCATCTGGCTTCCCATCTCTCCCGCTAATTGCAACCACTGATTCAAGCAGTGCAACCACTGCTTCAAGCAGTGCAACCACTAATTCGAGCAGTGCAACCACTGATTCAAGCAGTGCAACCACTAATTCGAGCAGTGCAACCACTGATTCAAGCAGTGCAACCACTGATCCAAGCAGTGCAACCACTGCTTCAAGCAGTGCAACCACTGATTCAAGCAGTGCAACCACTGCTTCAAGCAGTGCAACCACTGCTTCAAGCAGTGCAACCACTGCTTCAAGCAGTGCAACCACTGCTTCAAGCAGTGCAACCACTGCTTCAAGCAGTGCAACCACTGATTCAAGCAGCATCTGGCTTCCTATCTCTCCCGCTAGTAGTGCCAGCTATCACAGGTTACTTCTTGCCACCGTTTGTCACTGTTTGGCTATCCCCTTGCTTGCTTCTCTATTACCATTGTCGTTCCATACCATAGGCTGCTGCTTGGTTGCGTGCACTAGAGCGGTGTCACCCCCCTGCAGCTTGAGCCCCTCTTCCGCATGTGTGGTTCCTCCCTTTCTCGTCTGCAGTCTTTCAGTGGGGCAGCAGCGGCTTCTTGAGTGGCCTATTTGCCCCGGGCCGCAAGCACAGCCTCGCCTTCCCTACAGACTTGAATTCAATGAACACCTGCAATACCAAGGCCGTTCTTAAGATGATTGTGAAGCCCACGCGCAAGGCGAAAAAGTCGGTTACAATCAAGAACCCATATTCGTTCTTTAGCACTGTTGGCAAGGACTGTGCTAAGCGTGGGATGAATTTGTCGTTAGAATTATATAGTATTCGTTAGAGTAGTACGTTGAGGCTGCATGCATCTCTGCCGCCTAACGCCTAACAATAGCGTTGCTTGCTTGAGACTGCATCTGCTGAATGTGTAACTGAGTAATAGATCTGGGGATACGGTACAATGCTAAACGAAATAATACTTAAGCGAACTCTCAAGCTCACTCACCAGTAGAACTGTGGGACAAAATTGCTGGGAGGTTCCATTATACGGGCGCTCACGGTAAGCACCCAAGCGTGCAACACAGTGTAGCTGAGCGAACAATCAACGGGGGGCAGAGCGAGGCACCTGTGTGAGCAGCAGAGGCACGAGCTGGATGTGTGCTGCCTCTCCCACCTGGCAGTACACCTGCTCGCCTATCGTCGAGTCTGCGTGCTCCGCTCCCCCTTGCACCTCCGCTCCCCCTTGCACCTCCGCTGTTCTCACAGCGTCTGCCTCCCCGCCTCCACCTCTCCCACCTACCACACCCTGTGCCGTGCTACTACCCTTGTCACGCCCTCGCCTCTCACCGCTGCCACCATCCAGAGCGCTAGTGGGCTTTCCCTGGGTGGGGTGGTGTGGCAGTGTGTGCCACCACTCACTCACATTGCCACACAGCCGACCACCCACGCCACAGAAGCACATCAGCGACCATTCCACCTCGGCCCTCTGCACTCCTTCCCTCCTCCACCTCTCCTTTCCCCCCTCCCCTTTCCAGTTCCTCCCCTCCCCCCTCCTCCCCTCCCCCCTCCTACCCTCGCTCCACGGGCACAGGCGGATGAGACACAGGCAGACAAAACACGGGCAGAGAATGCAGAATGAGACATGGGCAGTGAGAGTGCTGGCCAGCGCTGCAGAATAAGAGATGCCAGGGGTGGTCGGGGACAGTGAACGTGTCCATGTGGTGGGGGACAGTGAACGTGTCCATGTGGTGGGGGACAGTGAACGTGTCCATGTGGTGGGGGACAGTGAACGTGTCCATGTGGTGGGGGACAGTGAACGTGTCCATGTGGTGGGGGACAGTGAACGTGTCCATGTGGTGGGGGACAGTGAACGTGTCCATGTGGTGGGGGACAGTGAACGTGTCCATGTGGTGGGGGACAGTGAACGTGTCCATGTGGTGGGGGACAGTGAACGTGTCCATGTGGTGGGGGACAGTGAACGTGTCCATGTGGTTACACGAGCATGCAGCGAGTGTGCAGCTGTGATGGTGACAACATGCAGACAGCTGTGATGGTGACAACATGCAGACAGCTGTGATGGTGACAACATGCAAACAGCTGTTTCACGATCATGACATGGCCCCATGGCTCCAGCAGCACCACGAGTTTAGGCAGCTGGAAGGGGAACCCACAATGCTTGGGGGCAGATGGAAGGGGAACTCACAAGGCTTGGGGGCGCGGTGGCCACAGGGGAGGCATGAAGCGGCTGGCAGCACAGCGCACGCCCCTCTGCTGCACCTGCCACACCAGCGACACCTGCCGCCCCTCGCCCTCCCTGCATCGGCCCTCCCTGCCAGTGGTGCTGCCCCCCATGCCTCGCCCACTGCCTGCCTCCCCAGTGGAGGTGGCAGCACCGGCCTCCCTGCCCTCAGCAGCAAGTAGCGCCCCTGCCCCCTCCACCCCAGCGCCATCCGCCTCTGCTGCACTGCCGGTGGAGCGAGCCCTCGTGGACCCGGTCATATGCTGTGCTGCTGCCGCCCCATGCTGCCGCCTCACCTCATTCCCAGCGCCACTCTCGCTGTGCCCGAACTGCCTGTGATTTGACAAATGCTTTTTGTCCGGTGCTGCTGCTCATGCTCATGCTCATGCCCATGCTCATGCTCATGCTGTGAATGGCGATGCGAGTGGCGGTAGTGGTGGGGAAGGCGAGGCCTGTGCGCGAGTGAGAGTGTCAGTCGCACGCGGTGGTGCCCCACAGCCAGCCCCATGCTGCCATGCACGCCCCCACCCCCTCTGCCTCCGCCACTGCTGCCCGTAGCAGCAGCACAACCACCACCACTTGTCCTGCACTGGTTAGCACTACCACCAGCCGCACCTCTTCTGTTCCCATGTGCACCACCAGTGCCGTTTCTATGCCCCCCCTCCCCTACCAAGCCTCTGCTTCCACCCCCCCTTTCTCCAAGGTACGCGCACCTGACGAGCCGGCCAACACTGGAGGAGAAGCCAGAGAGAGACGCCACGGTCCACTGCGACACGTGGTGCCACGCTGCCAGCCCGCCACGCCCCACGCCCAGCAGCAGCCCGTGCGGCAGCAGCAGGTTGCGGCAGGCGGCTCGCACGCTGTGCAGCAGGCCCAGTGGGTTGAGCAACAGGTGGTGCGAGGCGATGACGCGCGGCACACACAGCAGCCCCTCCGTTATGTAGTGCGCCAGCATGGAAGTGGGAGTACTTCATTGGGGCAAAACTCATGGAACGCGTGATTTGTGTTTCCTATCAAACTTCTGGATGAGATCTGCACTCATTACCCTTGCCTTGGTTCTGAACTTCTCATCAGGGTTTCCTTGTCAAGTTTGGCATTCATGTGTCCTTTGATGGCAGGTCTGCCTGAGGGCAGACTATTGGTCATTCACAGCAAGCGTCGTCTGCAAAAAGGGCAAATCCAAGAAAGTGGTCAAATGCTCAACTATTTTTGCTACATGTAAATAAAAAAGAAAAGCAGATTTTTACAAATATGATGGCAAGAATCGCTCTGGTGATATTGGCAACAGCAAGACGATATGTGCGCCCCACCCTCCTAGATAGATATATGGTAAGTTCCAAAAGGTTTTAAGGTTCGTCAAGATTTTGCGAGTGCTTTGGCAATGTAAGCCTGAGAAAAGTCCTTCGAGTTTTATAGAAACTATTGTTAGAAATCGTACCAGCGAAGTCTTGAGAATTCTTGTACTAGTACGTACTGGGTTAACCTGCTCTGTGCATACCTCTCTCACTGCCTTGCCCCAGCCCCTCAAACCTGCGCCACTCACTTCACCAGAGTTATCCACCTCTTTCGCACTCCCTTCCCGAGTCCTCCTCCCACACCCAAACCCGACCCTTCTTCTCTATCGACGGCAACCCCTACCCTCTCACCACTGTCTGTTATGTGTGGACTAACACGAACATTGTCACGCCATATCCAAACCGAGCCCACAGACAATCCAATGCTAACAGTGATTCTCCAAATGTAGGTCACAACCCACTCACAATTCCACAAGTGTCCAACCTTTGGTGGTACTACCAGCCTTCCTTTACACGCACTCTTATCTGTCAGGCTAGTAACAAAAAGACCCACACGGTGCATGTGATAACATAGCTATGACATGCTTGTTCCTGGCATGCCTTCGCGCTTCGCACGGGCCATTTCAGCAGTGAAGCCAGAGGAGCCAATGGAACTCCCAATCCCCATGTCTATGCCAGATATGACATCGCTCACATGTGCTCCAAACGCCTCCTGCTTCAACTTCAGCAGCTCTCCCAGCACTTGATTCAAGGACGGGCGGGAGGCTACAGGCATGGCGGTGCAGGAGAGGGCAAGGCGAGCCAAGCGCAGCACGATATCATCTGGTGCGTCCAAGTGAGGGTCCTTGAATGCCAACACAACACCTGAGTCCACCAATGGGGCCACCTGCCTGATTGAATTCACATGTCATATGGAGTATGGTCATAACAAAGATTCACAGAAGTTACGTCAAGAGAATATCGCTACAAAGACAAAAAGCAGAACGATAGAAAGGCAAATCAGATTATAAATATAGAGTGCGGCAATAAGTTGAGAATTCACCTTTGCCACACTTTTCTTGCTCATTGCAACATGTGTACTACTGAGAAAAGAGGTAAAGAGCACATGAACTGGCCTACTTAAGTTCGATAAAAGGGAACAAGAAAATCTGGAAAGAATAGTACTTGCAAGAATAATAGTAGTAGCAAGCAATCTCACTCCACAGTGCAGCTGGATTCTTTATCGTGTGTTGCAATACCTCTGCTAGCCCTGGTATAAAACTGTTCACTGTCTTACCCATTGTCTGAGATTGATCTGATTGTCTTCTGCTACATGTACAGCCTTGCGTACGGTGATGACCACCAGCATCACCACACCGAAACTGCAAACCACACAATGAACCAAGGTACCATATTAAAGATGCTCAGATTACACGTCTTATGGTCATACCGGTACCTCATTGTCTTCCCCTATCCAACGACTGTCACCGTAGCTCCTATCTCAGGCAACCAAGCATCACCAAACTACTTGATCGGTCCAAGATGTCATAACAGACCTTCAATTTCGGGCATGAACATCCTGTGGTTTTGAGGAAAAACAAACAAGGAAAGCATTTGCGAGCCCTAAAACCAAACCCTAAACTCCTTCCAAGCAAAAACAAACTCACGAACATTTCTCATCCACTCCAAACGCCATAAGGATTTTGCAAGCCAATATGCTCACCTGTGCACATCTGCTGCTGGAGTGGCCTTATGAGACTGGTAGTACGCAGGGTCCACATAGCCTGGTGTTCCCATCACTCGGGTGGCAGCTATAGACGTCCCCATAGCCGTGCCTGCGGTGACAGAGTGGCCTGCTAGGTGCTGGTCTACGTCGACGACCTGCTTGCCGCCAGCAGCAGCAGGCAGATCATCCGGCATGATGTCCTAGTACTCCTCTAACACCTCTTGTAATTTGCAGGTAGCTCCAAGTTCGGTTTCCCCTCCTCTGCTGCCATAACCAATGCTGGGTATTTGTGTTACTTTTGTCTACCGTCCGTTCGAACCGTGCAAGTGTCGTTTTGGGAACATCCCTAAATCTGTCCAGCTTCGCACCTCCACATGTTTCCCGTTGCTGGCTTTCCGGTTGACCCAATCTATTTTGGGGTTGAACCGCTTCAAAAAATTTCGCCCCAAGATCAAATCCAATCCCTTGATGTTCATGATCGGCAACGTCGGCTTTTACCTCAACGCACCTCTCCGCAGCTGCAGTGTTGACTCGCCGTTGATGGGAAGCTTCGTGCCATCCACCATCATTGTGGTAAGCTGGGTCTTTTCCGAGGATTCCCCATTTTTCTCCAACGTCGCACGGTCGCACACCGAGTGGGACGCACCACTGCCCACCAATGCTTTGAGGCGTTGCTTTTTTGCAGAGCACCTCGACGTCGACCTGCCTGAGCTCAACCCCGAGGTGCACACCGAATCGGAGCACTGCTGGGACATGACGCTGAAGGAGGCGTTGGCGAGATGGAAGGGCAAGGTGATTGAGGCCGCCATGGACGAGGAGATCCGGAGCCTCATTGCCAACAACACATGGGAACTTGCCGAGCGGCCTCGCGGTGTCAACGTCATGAAAGACTGTTGTGTGCTTAATAAGAAGTACCACGTCGACGACACGGTCGCCCGCAAAAAGGCACGCCTGCTCATGAAGGGCTTCACGCAAGTGTACTACGTCGACTAGGACGAGACCTACGCGCCAGTCGGGAGCTACATCACGCTGAGGATTTTCCTCAACATCGTCGTCGTCCTCGACTTGCACCTGATACAGCTCGACACGAAGAACGCCTTCCTGCAGAGCAAGCTCGACCGGGTGCTCTACATGTACTAGCCCGACTACTACGACGACGGGACAGGCCCCGTGTGCAAGCTGCTAAAGAGCTTGTACAGCCTGAAACAGTCGTGCTGTTGTGGTACTCGGCCCTCGACGCGTGCTGACCAGCGCTGGCTAGAAGAAGAGCCAAGGCGACAAAACACTTTACTTCAAGGTCGGCAATGCCGGAGTGGCGTGTTGGTTGGCTTGCTGCCAGGAGCAGCACCACAATGCTGAAGGAGCCAAAGGAGTTGCTGGAGGCCGCCTTTGAGCTGCGCGAGATTAGCCCGGTCGAGAAGTCTCTCGGGCTGGGAATTTTGCGCGATCGACCGGTGGGGAAGCTGTGGCTTCATCAGCAGGCCTACGTCGACAAGCCTCATCGGCGTTTCATCGACAAGGAGCAGGGCGGGCGAATCCCGAATCGCAGGTCTCCATCGACGCGTATGTCGAGCTGACGTTTGATGACCAGGAGTTTAGTCGCGCGAGAAGACCTCCCACGATATTCGCGCATTATCCCCATCAAAAGGATACGATAACTTGAAATTTATTCACTTATGCAGCTGATAAATATGGATTGGTTAAAAAACAAGGTATTTTATTAATTAGGCTATCTAATTATGCTTATATAGCCTAAATGGTAGATAACGTTTTTTGATAATGAAAGTATCAGATTCAAATTTCGAATGAGAACAATCCCGCCAGCCCGCCGGGCCGCCTGTAATAGCACCGTTGTTTAACACACGCACATGTGGTAGCTCTTCGTTTTTCAGCACATGCACCTGTGATAGCACCTTTGTTCACACGCACCTATGGTAGCACTGATGTCCAGCACACGTACCTGTGGTCGCACTGGTAGTGAGCACACGCACCTGTGGTAGAAGCGATGTTCATGTATCACACCTGTGGTAGCACTGGTATTCAGCACACGCACCTAGCACCACAACTGCTGTAGCACTAGTGTTCAGCACCACACGGGTGATCAACATTGGTCACGGGGGGTCCCAAGGAGTTCCAAGGGGTCGCATGGGGCCCGAAGGGGTTCCAAGGGGTCCCACGTGTTTCCGAGGGGTCTTGAGGGGTCCCATTGGGTCTAATGGAGTCTTAAGGGGTCCGATGGGGTCGCATGGGGTTCCAAAGGGTCCCATATTTCTTGCGTTCAGTTGTGATGATCTGCTTTGTCTTGTCGCTTTGCACTTCTTTGGCGTTGTACAAGCTTCTGTCCTCGCTCTCCCACTGCATCCACGCCTTTGGCCCAGACCGCTGGTGTCTCATGGCTTCAGAGCTTTCTAAGCTGCATGAAGAGGTTCGGTAATTTTAGGAAAATACGTAGTTTTTTTTTACGTATGGAAATCGTGCTCCATGATACTCATTCTTTTCCCCCATCCACATAATGTGAACAAAAGACTCAGAAGCGAGATTGCTGATAAGGAAAAGCTCATTGATAAAAAATATCATATGCTGCAAGATATGGAAACAAAGCTAAAGCAAAGTCACAACCAGCTGATGGTATTGATCTTGTATTTTTCTCAGCCTTTTTCTTAAATACGACTCCAATCTCACTCGAGTTTCTGTCTTGCTGCAGGCTTTCAAAGGAACAATGAGTGTTGTATGCAGGGTTCGTACTTGAATGAGAAGGAAAAGAAAAGTGCCGAAATGACTGTCAACATTCCCGAGAACAACAAGATAGTTGTTACAGGTTTGAAGAGATTTCCAACTATGTAACAAGCTCAACGGACGGGTTCAAGGTAACTAAATAGCATGTGGTTTTACATAGCGTATGTTTTATGCAACCAGCTGTAAGGAATTTTCTCGACATTCCTTAGCGCGACCATC